ACTAAATGATCTACTCAGGTCCCTTCTGTCCCTAGAAACTATGAAAGTATGAAACAACGCAATAATCTGGCATCTACATGAGTGGGGTAGTATTAAGGCTTATATCAAAGGACTAGTTTTCTCTGATTTATTTATTTTTTTTAAATAAATGGAATATTCTTTTAAATTTAACAGTGCAAACAAAGCCTTTGTCTTAGCAGTTTTTTCTAGTTTTAAAAACTTTTCTCAAAGCTCATAAATGACTGTATAGCTTTTTGTTTGTACCTGCGGTGAGAACCCTTCTATCAGTACTGCTTCTGAGAGCTGTGAAGTCTGTTGGCTTACAGCAGAGTATCCAGCTGGCACGTGACTTGTGAGCAGTTCATTCTGCCCAGCTGCCAGTCCCTCCCATTGTTTCTGCTGTTTCTGTGTTTGGGACCACCAGGTTCCTGTTCAGTCTTCTAGCTTGTTCTTCCTACCTCTGCCTTTGGGGTCAGGGCCTTGAGGGCCTCTACATGCCAGAAGTTGGACAGCCCTGGTTTAGAACAACTGTGAAGCTTCAAATATAATTTTCAGAAGGCTAATAAATCCTACCACCATAGTCTGCAGGCAATTACATAGCAGTGTGGTACTGAGGATGCCACAGTAGGTCTGCTTGAAGAGGTTTGGCAGACCTTGGGTTTTGAAGAGGTTCAGAACATTTCAGTGGAACTTCTGAGTCTTTGCATTACTCAGTTACATTGTATTGAATAGAGGAGGCCTGGAAGATGAGTAGGGAAACCACAGTTTGTTCTGTTATATAGTGGTTTATCTTATCCTTATTTTTAAAAGTTTACACTCTAAATAATACAGTACAATTACACTTGTGAGAGGCAAGCTAGTTCCTAGGGTTAACACTATAATGTGAACTTTTTAAAAACATCTTGCAGGCAACAATACAGCAGTGATTTTTAGGAAAGATGTGAATGAGACAGGTTAAGAAATATGTTGTGGAAAGCTGTTCTTGTACTTGGGATGCCTGGAAGCTGACAAAGAGGGAGATGATGAGAACAAAGGCAATATTTGACTGGCATCATGGTGGAATGAAGATGGTGAGGGAGAAACTCCAGAAGAATAAAATATGACACAGAATTTGAAAACAAGGTCCATGATTTTAACTTCATATGGTGTGAATGGTTTTAAAGTGTGTGCGTGTGCGAGAGAGAGTTAAAGCAGTAATAGTAATAGAGGGTGACTTTTTAGTACCGACTTTCTGATTCA